AACGTGCGCCGGTGTCGGTGACGATCACGTTGACCAGGTACACCAAAACGGACATATTTCGCATCTAACTCAACCCCATGCAACAAAAATTGATACTATGTGTTCATTGTGGTCCATTCTTCCTCGACGAACAAGTACATAAGCGACAATATAGTCAAAGACGAGAAAACTGCACAAGAAATTTGCCTTATTTACACGTATCGGCAATGCAAGCTGCCATGCGACTTCCCCTTCTGACGTCACAAGGGGAATTTCTGTATGCAAATGAGAAGCTAATGAGGAGCCTCGTTTTAAAATACACAAAAATAAAGTTGCCATAGACTGAGTTTAAAACACAATTTTTCACTTAAAAAAAATAATTCATGCTTAGAAACATAAAAATTAATAATATTTATGTATCAATTGATAATTTTAGGCGCAAAAATAGCAGCCATTTCACAGGCACTTTAAAGAAAATTCAACTTTAAATAGTGACATTTAAATATAAACATTTACACGTTCAAGCAAGCATTCGTGTGGACTTCTTGGTGATCAGCAATGTCTGTGATGGCACGTCGGCTGCGCTGGTCGTTTACCAATCATGCAAGTGCATAGCTGCCTTTGTTCCACTCGGCGGTGATGATGTTGCCGCTACAAGTCACGGCGTGAGCTTGGTTTTAACCTCCATGGTTTTAACCATAGACCTTATGTTTTAACAAATGGTTTTACCAATAACAATTTTATATATTTGACGTCACCCTGGCAGTAAAAATGTGGGTACGGTAATGCACTTTTCTAGGCCACATGTTCATTTTTAATTGTGTTGAAACAACTTTTTGTTCGGTGGTGTTATCACCTCATGGTGACCTGCTACGATAACAAGCCGGAATTTTCACAGTTGCGCCTTAAAACAATGAACCAGTTACCCTGAGCACGATGAATCATTTCGGAAGACAATGAGTGTTGGCTTGTTTTGTAAACAATTCTTTGTCTGGGACCATGCAGGGCGCACAGGAAATATAACAGGGCGCTGACAATTTAAACAGATGGCCAATTTCAGATAACAGGGCGCGGCGCCCTGTTAAAACCCCTCGTGGAGAACACTGCATACATCCAAAATGACTTAATTTGAGCATAGAAACTTCCACCTTTACCACCATGTGATACTAATACATGTACTAGTACCATATCTCATTTGTACATGATTAACTCATCGTGAAGGTCTCAGATTAAACTATGGAAGTAAAATTAAAGTGATAATTGTCTTTAAGCCAGTCACATTAATTACATGTTGATCATGAAATCTCCTTTATCCTTGACTGTAACATAGCTATCATCTCTTCCGTTACAAATTTTATTTTATTTAAATGGTTGGTATTATGTTGCATTCTGGGTATGTGAAGCATTGATTTTCATCTATAAAGGTCAGTGTAATTATTGCTGTTATTATTCATATTAATAATCTTATTTACAGGTTGATGCTTTGGTATAGAAATGCACAGTCACAACATTGGTTGTGTTGTAAATCAATCATCATTTAGAATATAACAAATGTTTTGAATGATTACAAGACACTCATTAACCATCTACAATCTCAACATAGTAGAGTATTGTAAAAAAAAAAAATGCCAGGATCCCTCACAAGTGGCAGAGAAATGTGTTTACTGTCAAGCATGTATGTGCCAAACTTACGGTACCCTATTTTCTTCTTATTGACTTTCACTAAGTTTCCTGGGTCATATTGCATATCAAGTGGCTTTTTCTTGAAACTTGAAAGACAATGGCAACTGCATCAGAAGAAATATACTCTGGTAGAATGTAATTGTACAAGAAATATTACCAAGATATTTTGCTTTTATGTTAAAGCAGACATTTCAGTGAGCATATAATATGCTTGTAGAATACAGATTAAATGATATTAAGAAATTTCAGGTGCCTTTTCCATGAACCTACTAAGATTAATCAAAACTCTAAAAGGGCTGCAGGCATCATCAATAAATTATCAACCGAGTAGGAGACAATACTATAGAAAGTCATCAATGTCAGTGCTATAGACCAAGTCAGAATCCACTCCACTCCAGTGAAAAATTCACCTAAGGGATTCGATGTATATAGAGGTGTATTTTGTTTATGACCAAGATCAAATCAAACAACATTAATTTTTTATGAGACTTACAATGTTCTTAAATATTCGTGTCTCACAATCCATCCATGACAAGTGAAAAAGGATGATAACAAAACTACAACCAAACCAAAGGGATAAATGAATTGCAGCAAGTTTAAATTTCAACCTTATCTGGTGTAAACAGACAACTTGACAAACTTTGTTTTGAATAATCAATACTCCTCAAAGTTCCAATTGATCAAAACATGTGGATGCGGCTCTCCAAGTTTTCCTTTTAGTGCTTCAACCTTATCTGTTTGGCATGTCAGTCAATGTTTTCATTTAAAAGTTTCTTACTTGTAGCAAGAAATCCTTTTCTTAGTCCATTGGGTTGGGGTGGTCCTGATTTTTTTTTCCTGAACAGTTATTCAATATACCACCACAGATTTGTAGCTACAGGTAACACATTATACATGTAAGGCATATTAAAATTCTGTCTTCTTGTTATATTTGGATAGTACAAATGTAACAGTACACTTCCTGTAATCTTTTCTCCTGCCACCAACAGCAATAATTTTTTCAAAATCTTCATGTTCAGTGTTAGTGTACGTCTGTGGAGTTATCTTACCGAAAAATGTATGTTTTTGTACTTACTGATATACTCTGTATTCATACAGAGACATGCGCTTTCAACCTCAATTCAATACATTGTACCAATACACAATGCAATACAATTACGTGTAATGATCACATGCCGCTATTAGACCATCTCATGTGTCTAATTTGTTTATTTTCCACAAATATATTAATCAATAGCTGTGGGCTTTAAGCTCTCACTTTTGTCATTTGTTAAAACGTCTTTCCACAAAAACCATCATCATACACTTACATTTTATTCTTGTGAGAGATAATGATATTACTACAAATCAATATGCATGTTTTATCACCAGGTGGTAGAAATTCCTAATCTACTGGGATTATATAATGCAACACATCATTGGATATACCAAACATTGTATCATAAGTCAGTGTTGTCTGTCATTTTGTGTAAATATGATTTAATCGCTCAGTTTTGTCATGTCATCTTTTATTATTTCCCTGTATCTTTCATGTTTGTCATTGTACATCATTGTCACTAGGTCAGCTTTTTCCATATCCACAATCCAACATAGAAGGTGAGGTGTGTCTACTCTTTCTAATTATTGGAGTGGAGTCTATAAGACAGGTACTTGGTGAGTATTATTCACATCTCAATTTCTCTTTCTTTATTTGCTGCTGCAATATTCAGGAAATGTTTTACCTTACCCAACGGTTAACTTAGTTGTTGAGTGGATTCTGCTTGTTTTAATGGCTATTTTAGAAGCCTGTAGGTTGTTCATGGGTAAGTTGGCTTTCCATGAATCATTATGTGTCAGGTTTAAATAAATAAAATTGTTTGTTTCAAGTTAAAAAATCATTCAATGCTTGCTATTTTATGATAATTTATTTTCATTATTTGTTTTGTTTACTCTCTGTTCATTCTCCAGAATAAGTTCCTTTTGTACCCCCATCCCTAATCCTAACCCTAACCCAACCCCTACCCTCCAGCACTCCCCATTTAATTGTACATGCCCCTCTTAAGGACATCTATATTTATCTAGAGGGGGCATATACAAATGAATTAGGTAACTGGGAGTTAGGGTTAGGTATGGGGGTACAAAAGGAACTCTTGCCCATTCTCCAAGCACTGGCTGAGTGAGTGTGCAATAAGTCTCTGTCACAGGTAAACTTGAATGTTCAAATATTTGGTGAATGCTTGAAAAACCTTAAAGATGAAACAGATCATTATTACCTCACTTAAAGCGGGAGGCTTGTCACCTGCGCACGCGCGGGAATTGAGTCCCAAGCGACGATAACAACACACGATAAAAACGGAAAGGCTCATTGGTAGATGCTTGTTTGTAAACAATGACACGCAATGGCCACCTGATGCATGCGCAGGTGACGACTCCCTCGCTTTAACCAGAAAATATTTTTTTCTGCTTTGTTTTCTACAATTATTACATTCGTTTGGAACTGTTAAGCCAATTATTGCATTCATGTATTTTTAGAACTCAACATTTCATGGAAATTGTACTCAATAGGAAACCTATCAATTGGTTTTGGCAATGTTTTAGTAGCTGCTTATGACATTTCCTCAATTTGTTTTTCATTTTTTTATATAAAATACTAAATTATCAATATAGCACATTTGAAATGAATGCACATTTTCATAGATTTCAGTGTAAAATGTTATCTGTGTCAGAGACTAATGTCGTCGCAAGCATGCCACCAACTTCAATAACCAGTCTATGCATAGAAAATGCTCTCTGGTCAGAACTGCTATTTTTAATTAATTTTGATCAGAAGGCTACAATCTGTATTTTTGCCAAGATTTGCCATTGTGACATCTGTATACTATGCTGTTTTATTAAATGAAAATTCAGTGCTTTGTAACAATAAGCATGCACTGTTTTAAATTTCCTTACCCTCATCTGGTCATCATAACCCTCATCGTAAAAGTTCATTATGCTGGCAGGATTAGGGTTAATGTTTTGTTAGTGCTTTAAATTCAAGCCCTACTTAGTGTTCATACTTGATCTGCATACTAATACATAGAGGATCATTTTTATAGTGAGATTCCAATGGTGGGTCACTGTCTAAATTTGAATAAACATGGAATAAAATGTTCTGACTAGTAACAGATGTTAGAGGTAATACAGGATACAGATACAAACATCTGATGAGTGCTTTAGGGGAAACGTGATGTTTTTTTGCCTGAAATGTTGCTGCATTAGTTGAGTGTTATATAATCAATGTGTTAATGTATTAGTGTTATATGAAGCTTGTTATTAATTGTATAATGCATGCATGTTATTATATGGTTACTGTATAATACTTTATTTTAGCTGGAATTAATTTTTCGCTGAATAGACTTTTTTGGTGTTTTGTATGGAATTTATTTTCACTGATTTTTGACGAGTTGAATGTAAAATATACGAAAAAAAGTATTCACTGGATTTTATTTTCACTGAATCATTCTTTCATCGAAAAGTAATTCCAAACGAAAATCAGGTATTCCACAGTATTTATTATATGGTATAATAATATGGTTTATATGGTAACAGGGATAAGCAAATTAGTACATGTAGTATAATACGATATGTTTGTTCTATTAGAAGTGCACATATTGAAAACTGGATCATATAAGGGACGACGTCAAAAGATCGATGTCGAATAAAAAACTTATTTGCTTTAGTGGGGGGGGGGGGGTTTGACCTCAAAAAATTTCCATCCTACAAAAACGATTTTATTTATTATAGTCAAAAAAATCTTGGAGTATTTGTAGTTCGTTTTTTTCTATCCAATCATGGACAAAAATAACAGAAATAACATAAATAAAAATAACATCCAAGACAAGAAAATGGTTTGGTTCGAGTGTAAATATGTCAAATGAGGATAATTTCAGGGCATGGACCTAAAGCATATGCAGAACCCAGAAAAGTAGTTTGCGCATACGTATATTCCCCTTCATTATTTCCTCTTTAAGGGATGGTGAATGTAGTCTTGACGCCATGATCAATATTTATCAATTAAGTTTCAGTGGGGGAGGTTTGGGAAAAAACTAAAGGAATTAAGTTTTTTTATCCTACATTGAACATTTGATGTTGTCTCTAAGCACATGAACCATTGTGTAGCTTAAAATGCATCATTGCAGCCCATGATTGTGTTATTTATATATACATGTAAATTGTACCATTGCATGTTATACACTTATTAAAAATGTGACTTTTTTACATTTTTCATAATGCCTGTATTGAAATGCAGAATTGAACAACTACATACTAGTATTAGCTCTGCTGTTGACAGATTTCAATCATTTGTCAGAACGGAGCTTTTCATATTACTGGTACTGATTGTTCGTCGTCTTCAACTTTACATTTTGGACTACTTCTTAAAAACCGCCAATTGTATGAGTATGGATTTCATACTTACAACAAATGTACCTTGAGTGGTTCTATCACATTTATTAATAAGCAAAAGTTTGATTCTAGTAAATATTTTTGTAATTTTTGACTTTTTCTTAGAATGACTTTTCTACGTGCAATGCTTTGATTTCTTGATTTTTAACAAGCCAGAGTGGATTGAAATATAGGTACCTTAGATGGGCTTCTGTCAGATTGATTTGATACATTATTCAGTCAGAGGATTAGTGGACAGTCTACTATTATTTTAGGCAAGTCAGAGAAAAACACAAAATTTGGTAGCATTTTATTGGGTTCTGAACACTGATATGCTCTGATTTATGATTGCGTATGTCAATAACAAATTTGAGAGATGATCAGTTTGCTAAATACTAATTTCACTAATGAATATGTTGATTGACAGAAACAACATAATTTCTTCCCCGGAGAAATTTTTCAGTTGTTCATAATATAATTGCTGTTAACCATGGTTCAAATTACAAACAGTTCAATTCTCCTATATCTTATTTTACCAAAAGTTCATCTCTTAATTACTACAGTACACTTCTATAAGTACAAATTAGTTATTTATTACATAAATTTTGAGACATTGTATTGAATACTAGCAAAGCAAGTACTTTGATTTCTTTTCACTGTTTAGATTTTTCCGGTATATTCGCTGTTTAAAGTTGATAATATTTTATACTAGTTACATGTACCATAGCTGAAATAACATTATCTTTGGAAATGCTATATAATTTAATATATTCTCCCAGACAGAACATTTATTATTGAAATGCTGTCTAATCCCCCTTTGATATTCCCCGGACAGAATATATATTATTAAAATGCTGCCTAATGCCATGTAATTAATATACATACATGTACCGACCGTAACAATAAAAGCTATAAATCTGATATTTTAATTGTATCATTAACGATAAAGATTTATCAAAGTAGTCTGATATTGTATTATTATGCATTGATGTGACACATGATCATTAATAGGTTAGTTGGATATCATTTTATGTCTGATATATATGGCCTCAGGGGATGTCAGAACAGGTGATACATTATCCAAAATTCCCCATGGTAACCACTGTGATCTCTTGGTCAATTGACCTGCAGTTCTAATCCTTAATATGGAAATTTTATACATTGCTAGTCATTCTGGCTGATTTACAGTAATCTCAGAAGTTTTGATTTATTTTAACCAGAAATTAAAACAGTTTGTTAAAGGGCTCACATTCAGAGGAGCTTTGCATCCAATCTGCAGATTCAAAATAGAAATTTAATAATTACCAGGAGTCAGAGTCAGAAAAATATTCTCATCTTATCTGTGTTATTTTCTTCTAAGTATATAAAACCATGGTATTGCTAGAATGAATTGTTTTCATTAACTAAGCAGTCAAAGCCAAAGATTGGGTATATGCACATGTAAACAACACCTAGACAGCTGACTATGTACATGTAAACAACACCTAGACAGCTAGAAATTATTTTTTCTATTTATTTGCTTGCTACTTCATATTACATGACATAAATTGTAGTACCATATAGCTCAGTAATGCATCCATTTAAATATATTTTATCTTAATAAAAGGTGCATTTTTTGTGTTTGTAGGTAAGAAAGGCAATCTGACAGAGAGAACTATATCATTATTGTTATCTGTGGTGTTAAGTCTACCAATGATATTTGCACATGTCTACCTTTTGATCTGGCAGACCTACGTACTCAGAGCTGAAATCATATTGAATTCTATCCAATTAGTGTTCCTGGGATTAGAGTTGGTCTTTTCTATCATCGCTATCATTACCTTTGCACGGTGAGTCACATGTCAGTTCTTATAATTAGATTTGGTCTTTTCTATCATCGCTATCATTACCTTTGCACGGTGAGTCACATGTCAGTTCTGAGTATCATGAATAAGAGTGTGTGTGTTCAACTTGAAAATTGTCATTTAATGTCAGGAGAATGAAAAATATCAACAACAAATTTTAAATAATTTATCAGCTACTATAAAACCATACACAAATGACACTCATATTGTGATCGGTTGTTGTCTTCCCTACTTTAACAGTAAACCTTACTAGCAAAGGAACAGTGCAATGTTTCATCATAATAGCTAAATTACATTTAGATAAATGTATGCTCTGTTATTGGGGCAATTAGAAGGGTTCTTTCTTCTTCTTGGTGATGTGTAATTAATTGTTGTTGCTATCTACTTGAAATATTTAATAAATCTAGGTCTTTTTACTTACGAGTTAGCCCTATCTAAATTATATAGGTAACATAATTCAAAATAGTTTCCATAACATAAATAGTTTCAATACTGTGGATTTCTTTATTGTAGTTTGAATTAAAAAAAAGAGAAAATTGGAACCTAGCATGTAATTTTTACATCATCATACATAATGTAAACAAGTTTTTTCACTGATTAACAAAACTCCTCAATGAAAACTGAAAATGAATACCAGGTGAAAATAAATTATTCAAAAGTATGTTCTTCATATTGAGTGAATCTGTCTGGGTATGTGTGACTATTCCATGCCTGATCTGTGTTTCTTTTCTTATTCAGATTTTCTGTCTTTTGTTTTACAGAGCTGATACTTACAGTTAAACAAGATTTGGTCTGATTGCTCTTATTTATACATGCGACTGTAAATATGTTTTGATAAAAGTACATCATTTGTAAATAGTTGGTATTTTTTATGGAAACAGGACAATGTTAAAACAGATTTAGAGATATGTCAACTATCACAATGACAAAGTAAATGAATGCAAACATTCAGTGTATCGGCTGCTGATACAAATAATGTCATTTGTATATCGTTTAGTTTGGCACACAAACCGATGATGTCATCATTTAATGGAGTATAACAGAACTGATGATGTCATTGTTTTGTGGGACAGCACATAAAATAACTTTAAATATTTTACAAATAAACTGATTAGACAGTAGTTTGTAAATACCGTTAGATTAGCGATTTATTTAATCCTCAATAACAATTGATTCAATTTAATTATAATGTTATCCTTTTTACCACCAGTTCTCACTTTTCATGACAAATTCACAAAATAGTCCTGTTTATATTCTGCACTTTCCATAGATTATTAGAACAAAATAGCCAAATATTTTGAGAAAAAAATGAAAATTGACTCAAATTTTGCCTGTTGGCTTTAAAAGTAGGGTTCAATTCCAGAAATATTGAAGAATATAACAAAAAGTACAGAAAAAGTTTGGCAAGAAAGTCTGGTTGTGAAAAGGTTAATAAATAAGAACAAGTTAATTTATGGATAAGCAGTTATTGAAAGTAGTGCAATTTTCCATCAATCAATATTATCATATTTGATAAAACTCAGCAGAACTACATCATTGTAAAGGTAAATAATTTATAAAGATAGTTTTCACCACATTAAGTAAAATTAGGGTTTGAATTCTTGATGTACAAATGTATAAACAATGTATTACTTTGCCCCTACTGTAAAAAGCTGTATTAGAAGCAACGACTTCTAATTAAATTGTCAAAGGCTTGGAATGTATGAAAATTACTTAATATCACATGGTTACTCATTGGAAATCTTTTAACCATGCAATTCTCATTTGATTATGGCAATGAATTTATATTTTATCATTCTGTTTAATCAATCTAGCGCCCTCTATAGTTTAGAATGTATAATATCACATAATTTTACATTTGCATCTTCATACCTATTTTTAAGATTGAAAATAATTTATTATGAATTATCGGAAAATAAAAATTGGATTATTGATTAAATACATTATTTTAAAAAAACTCTTGGCTTGTTACATGTACATGTATGTTTACACCACACACTTTATTCTATTACAGTGTTAGATTGTATTATACTTGTGATGTAGTTAATGTATGTTAATTCCATCAAGGTGCATCCTGAGAACATGCATGATGCATTACTTTATTCATGGGGGCAGTTTTTTTAGCCAGCAACCTATCTGCCTGTCATTTTAGCCAGCCACCCGTCTGCCTGTCATTTTAGCCTTGCTGCAATTTATCAGTACTTGGTTCATAATACCTAAAATAAGGGTGAATCTAAGCAATTATCTCAGTGCATATTCTTTCAAAAAAATTGTCACAAATAGTATAAAATTGGCTGTATCATGGTGATCCGAGAGTGCATATTCATATATTAAATATTTCACTCTAAATGGCCACTGAGACCCCCCCCCATGTGTAGTGTTCCATTCCTTAGCGTCATCACGCCTTCTGTTTTACTCATCTATGTGACCATTGTATTTAAAACAGTGGACAAGATAGCCATAATAAATAACATGCTATGGTTGAGAAACAAAAAAATCACGTGACTTTACCGCTCTCGACAAGATCTCTGGAGCCATTTATGAATATGATATGTTTTTGTCTGGACGCTCATTAAATATTTTTACCTGCAAAGTACGAGTTGCTTGGAACAGTAGACAAACCTTTTATAAATTCAGAAGAGATTGTCTTAAAGGTAGACGGGGAAAATAAACTTAAATGCATTGTAAACAAATATTAATAGGAAATCCCTCACAAGAAAAGGTCACCGTCTTACCGACAATTACGAAATTCTATTATGAAAATACTTGAAATTCAAATTACAACCCATTATAATTATAGGAATTATCTCTTAGTGAAACATTAATTTTATTATAAATGATAATGTTTAACCGATTTAGGGTATAAAACTTACAAGTCAACTTGTTTCATAGTATTCCTACTGTTTGTTTTTGTTTTGTTTTTGAAAACGACAAATGGCTAAAATATGAAATAGTAATTGTATAATGAAAGTTGCTTAATTTTTCTCGCTCTTCCACATTTTTGCTATTATCAGGTTTTTATTTTTGCAAAAAAAAACAAAGACTTTGAAGCAAGTCCAGGTGAAAGTGTAATCTCGAGAGCTGTCACATTATATTTCGAAACAAAAAATCCTGAAAGTAATAAAATATAAAGTCGTGATTGTCTACAATAATGGTTATAGACGTGTATCTATGTGGTTGTGCGTAATGGACTGCAATCAACTCATGTATTACATTTTTATCAATATATGTGTCTTTGAAGTTATAATTGTCTTATATTTTTGCTTCAGATACATTGCATTACTTAAAGCGTCTAATTGTTTTAAACTACAATTACAATTCATCGCTCACTGTTGTAAGTTTCTGTATATTAATATTATTTGTATAAGCACAAATAAAACCATACATGCAAAAGCATTAAAATTAAACAAACAAAAACAAATGTTTTATATTTGTAATTGCATTTCATCAGCGACATCTTCGGCAGCTCTGTGCGCAACCTGGAGTTTTAACTTTGTCATGCAACACGTGTTCAAAATACGCGTGTTGTATATGTCGCCATTGGCCCTATATCGAACACGACGCGGTGCGAAAAATCTAGCGTTTTAATGTATTGTCTAATTTCAATTCCTGTTATACATTACTTTTTATGACCTCATTTCACAACAACTCTACGTTATTTCGCATAATACTGGATAACACGACATTGATAGATGTGTGGCACATGAAAATATCTGCTTACAACTGGTTTTTAATCCGTGTCTAAAACGTGCACAAAATGGTCACGTTTTAGACACAGCTTATCAGCCACCTCAAGTGCCAACTCCATGAAATAAACAGTAAATGCCAATAGAGTAGGTGTTAAAAATTGATGCCACGGCCATGTATTTAAAATGCGAGCGATATTTCTGGGTTCACGCGGTCGAAAAATAAAGCGGAAATTATCCAACAAGCGGTTGCAAAATTGAGTGAAAAAATGATCGAAAAGGAGAAGTGAGCAGGAGGTTGGGTGAAATTATTGCAGTACATTCAGGTTCTTCGTAAAAATACGATCGGCCAAGATCTATCATTCTGAAGCACGCCGATGACAGAAAAAATGTAGTTTTGAATATTTACACCGTTCGTATTTTTTAAATGAGCCAAACAAAATTGTATGATCGTTTTGCAAGTTTTAACGGCTACGTTCTGTTGAAGTTATCAGACTTCACGAGTTATTACCGAAGATAATGTACAAATCGGAAAAAGCCAAAAAACAACAATAATATTGATTATGTGAGACTGATTAGCAGTCATGTAGGTCCAATCCGCACTGTTGTATCGTCTATTCCGTCAACGAAACGTTACAACCCGGACCGACGATGCTCGACGATTATTATTGCAAATGTCATTTATTTCGCTCTGGTCAATGATTCCAGAATCAATTGGGTATTGGTACGTTATTTTAGAATGATTTACACTTGGTTTCACGTGATAGTTAGTCTGATTTATCATATAGCATTACAAACAGGAAAACCTCGGCATGGGTCAGAGTACTAGTATACCTTGTTTTGATGAATGGTCTGGGTGTGGCTTGTGGGTAAGAAAAGACAATGGATTTCGATGAAGTTGTGATTATTTAGATTTTTGACAACGGATTTTTACTATTGAAATGAAATTATCACGTCTAATTGTTAATACGTGAAGTGATGTTAAAAAACATAAGTTTTTTATTGTTCATAGTCTTGCGTACACCGCAACAACAAAAGATTACTTTTCAACACAGATCTCCAGTCAAGAGAGTGGCTTTTGGACGTATTCCTGGACATGGAGGTATAAACAGATACCTCCATGCCCTGGAGTAAAACAGGGCCCAAATTGATAGGGAGTAAAAGACAGAATTGGAAGAGCTGCCCATGCATCGACCAATCACACAAGAGCTCACAAACACCAATGAAATATTTGGGTTTGGCACTAAAAACAATGGAACATTATAGGCTTAAAGTTGGATTTAGATCTAAACCCCTCTTGGCAGAGTTATAAGCAGAAATTTTCATGTGTGTTTTCAGAGGTCGCGGTTGAAAAATGTGTTTTGCTGATACTAAACGTTTTGCTATTTCTTATTGTCGGTGAAAATATTCTTGTTTTTCTTAAAAATATGTGTTTTTGCGAAAAAAGACATACACAACCCATACAACGTCTCTTGTTCATGTCTATCAACATTTTGTCATACTAGGAAAATACCTGTGCCAAGTTTTTATTCTGCGTGGCTCTGTTCTCTAGTAATTAGTGTTCAAAGCGGTGACAACGACTTTAACACGTCAGGAATACTTCCGCCCCAACATAAAATGGTACGTTATTGTAGAAATATATCATGAAATGCGTTTGAGAATTGGAGAGTTGCTATCGGACCTGCAATAAGTTGTGAACATAATGGTAAACTAGAAAGGTAAAATATTTACAATTTGTTTCTAATAAACCCTCGTTTCTAATAAAAGCATAAATCACATTATTCGACGCTCAACAGTGTCGGCGACCTTCGAACATTCTATAAATGCACAATAAAGTTTCCCGCGTTTATAAATATTGTCGAACAAAAATACTGTGCCTCATCGATATTCTTAGGACATTCTGCCCAAAAGACAAGACGATTATTTAAGATGGAAGTGGCCGAACCATTCAGGTGAGGACATACCTGAATCAAAACACTTTAGGATATGGAACGATAACGGGTGAAACAGAGTAAAATAAATCGCCTAATAAAAAATCGGGACCGGCTGATTTTACTTTTTTAAGTTTGGAGATTGTATAAAAAAAAATTATCCTGACTAGTTATATTATATCATTATATCCGTTGAAAAACATAATACAACTTTTCGGAAAAGGGAAACATGTTTTATATATATATATATGAATATTACTAATCACGTGATTTGATAATATTACAGATGGTGGAATTAGATTTGAAATGTCTCACCCTGTTTCAACATTGTTTTGAATCATTGACCGAAGTTGCTAATTTCTATTTTTTCCGCATCAAAAACGCACGTTTTTATTCTGAAAAACTATAAGCTTTAAATTCAGATAACAGGGCCTTGTACGCATTTAAATTCAGATAACAGGGCCTTGTACGCATTTAGTGAACTTACATTATTATAATAACACATATTCCTTTAATCGTTAGTACTTCTCACACTCATTACCAAACCGAGCTGACTGATTGTTTCCGTCGATATGCAATATTTCTTGGAAGCAGTCTCAAAAGACGGGCTTATCTCTTCAGTAAAACAGTAACAGTATTCCGGTCACTAATAAAATGTTCTAATTCCTTAGTTTTCATCTTCATCGTGGAAGATGTTTATTATTATCATTCTGTGCTCAAGAAAACTTACTTATAACATGCTGTGATATAGCTGCAGTGGAAATCGTGTTACCGATGACGATACTTAGAAATGTATTCATAATTACAGACAACGGAAAAGCGTACTCCAACTTAAAATATTTATACTCTAGACAATCATAATGTAAACAAGAACACATAGTCAACAACGCCAGCGCCTCAATTTACATTTACAAGTACCCCCTGTCCCTATGTAAATTAAGCGTGCAACATAAAGAAAGAAGCGAGCGGCCAGAATTGCATATCTACCATGGTTAGACGTTCTCTCATGTGACGTGTTAAACACGTTGAACCATTGGAAATGGTTGCATTGTTCGGCTTTTTTAGCAAAGCATACACTGTCAGCATTTAGATAAACATCAGTAAAATCAGAAGGCTGGAGCTGGTAATTAAGTCCTTGAACATTCCAAGATAAAATTTATATTAAGTTTGGAACTCGGTCACACCCCTACCGGCAGTTATTTCAGTTCTATTTATCTGTGTCACCGTCTCCGCCTCCGCCTCATCGACTTCCTTGGGATTTGTTTCTGTACGTTCAATACTATCAGATTATCGTTCTTCCCATATGTTGGCTATTTGTTAAGGTATTACCAATTCAAACT